TATTGAGCAAAAATAGGGCCAAAGAGAGGGATAGAAGACTTACCCTTGAAGACCAATGCTTCAACAACTCTTGGCTTGAGAAAAGGTGCTCCTTGCCTCTGGAAAACCAGCTTCAAGTGTTGGAAAGGATGGTGGGGAGGTGGTGCTATGTGGTGGTGTAGAAAGGAGCCAAAAAAAAAACAAAAGGGTTTTGATGCTTGGAATATATAGAGAGAGAGAGAGAGAAATTAAATGTAGGAGGCTTAAACAAAAATTTTTTCTCACCCAAAATGCAGCTGGAGCTGCTGGTTTTATAGAGGGAGGAATGGAGGAAAAGGGGGGAAAAATGGGGGGGAAAATCAATTCAAATTTCTCCCAAAAAATAGGCCTAAAAAAGAGATAAAGAGGCAAGTGGTAGCTGCTGGCCTCAAACCGAAGAGAGCCCTTCAAGAAAGTTGAATAGGGGCTTAAAACAAGACACTTTACAGTTTACATCAAGCCACGAAACAGCTAACAAATAAGCCTAAAATACCATGCAAAAATAGGCCTAAAAGAGAGTTAAAGAGGCAAGTGATAGTAGGAGACCTCAAACAGTAAAAGGTCCTTAATCAAACATGAAAAGGAGCTCAAAATATGACTATTTAAAGTTTGGGTTGGAGCCCAAAAATGCTTTCAAGCAAGGCTTTGATATAGAGCAACATAGGAACAAAAAAGAGGAAAAGAAGCTTACCCTTGAAGACCAATGGACCAGCAGCTCTTGGTCTGAGAAATGGTGCTCCTAAGCTCTGAAAAATAGCTCCAAGTCGTTGGAATGGATGGTAGTGGGGTGTATACCAAAAACCGGAGCAAACGGAGGTGGTTAAGCGGTCCCGAACCGAGGCACACGGCCGACGGTTCCGAAAACCGAGAACCGGGCTCCGAAACGGGAAAAACGGCCTACGACCATGAAACGTAGCCTACGGCCACTGAGAGATGATCTACGAGACCTCTCCCTCCCTTTGGGAAGAGAAGACGGAGAAAACGGGACCTGGTTCGCAAACCGAGGCAAAGCACAAAAGAGTCTGGAAGTCCGGAGGCAAGGCTCACGGCTGAGACTCCGCGACCTCTGAACGAGCACAATATGCAACATCACCGAGCGCTCAATCAGTGACGTCTGAGTCTTAAGGTCGGTCAAAAATGGGGTGTCTACAATACGTGTTTCTAAGCATGTTATCAAATGTTGCATTCATATGCCATCTTAGATAGCCGAGCCTATTTAGTTTCATTATTGCATTCATTGCATTAGGCATCTTGTATAGTTAGGATCATGCATTGTTTCTAACTAGTTTTCTATTTTGGCTTGGAGTACACTGTAAGCTTTACGCTTTAGCATACTTGCATGAGTGTGAGTGTTGCCATGATAGCATGCTTGCCATGAGGCTATGTGCTTAAGTGATTAACTGCATGAATGCCTGTGGATGAAGGCTTTGATGCTTGAATTGGAACAATTCATCAAATGTGAGTTTTAAGCCCACTTTGCGAAGTGGCAAATCATCATGTTTTTAAGCCCACTTGAGGGTGGAAAATCCGCGCTTTAGCCCACTTGCGAGTGGCACTTTCAAACCATTTTCGAAAACAAACATGAATCGATTTGTTCCAAGTCTTGCGACTTAGTCTATACTTGTATGATGTGCGCATCACATAGTAAAGTTAGCTAATAACCGGAATAAGAACACATGTGTTTATAAAACAACATATTATGCTTAGTAGAGGCCGATCCTTTGATCGGACGAGCGGGGGTGCTCATGTTATGACCTTCCCCTCTTATACCCAAGTTCCCGAGCCAAGGTAACTTTGGTGATGACAGAGACGTGGCCTTTGGCACGAGTCAGAGTTTCCTAAATTTGCCAAAAATAAAATATTTAGATGGCGACTCTGTAACCTAGTAAAGTAGTCCAGTTTGGCATTATTTGATTTTAAAATCTGATTTTCCAAAATGATTTGCCGGATTAGACTCTTTGGTGTTTATCAGTCTTACATTGCACTTTCTGAGATTAGATTCAGAACCGTGACAGGAGTCTGAAATGTAGGAGACCAATTCGCGCCTCTCCAAAAGGGGGGCGCGCGAAGAAAGTCGAGCGCTACAAGGTTCTGATTGTTGTGGGGCCTCTTGACACTACAACAAATTTGAGATTTAAAGACGAAACAAATTTGTTCCAAAATGTATATATTTCGTCACCCAAAGTAATTACGATGAACATTTTTCGTCACCCGTTTTGTCGCCAAAGGGTCGTCGCTAAAGGGTCTTAGAGACGAAAAAAAAAAATTCGTCATTGAAAATGATAAATTTATGACGAATTTTTTTGTCTCCAATACACTTTGTTGGAAACATACTTGTAAGTAATTAGCGACAAAATATTTTGTCATTAAAGGAAGAAATTAGAGACAAAAGTATTTTGTCATAAATATAAGAAATAGAGATGAAATAATTTTGTCACGTTTAATATAAACGAAGACAAAAAAAAATTTGTCAAAGAAGCTACCAATAGAGACAAAAACAAATTCATCATTAAAAATGAAAAATTTGTGACGAATTTTTTTGTCTCCAATACACTCTGTTAGGAACACACTTGTAAGTAATTAGCGACAAAAATATTGTCATTAAAGAAAGAAATTAGAGACGAAAGTATTTTGTCATAAATATAAGAAATAGAGATGAAATAATTTTGTCACGTTTAATATAAACGAAGACGAAAATTTTTTGTCAAAGAAGCTACCAAAATAGATACAATATAAACAAGTATTTCATCATTTAAACACAATGAATAAATTTTATTGAACGACATTTTTATTTGTCTCAATACATTCATGTTGGGAACATACTGGTAATTAGCGACAAAAATATTTTGATCTTTAAAGAAGAAATAGAAACAAAAGTAATTTGTGTCATAAAATAAGAAATGGAGACAAAATAATTTGTCACGTTTAATATAACGAAGACGAAATTTTTTGTCAAAGAAGCTAACCAAATAGAGACAAAAATATACATTCATTCATTAAATAATGAATAATGTCAAAAAAAATCATGTGTCACACATTGAGGAATAAGTATGACAAAATGTGACCATATTTTTTGTCATGACAATATCACTTTAGCGACGAAATAATATTATTAATGACAAAATTAATCATCCCACCTAAGCTAAATAAGAGACAAAAAAAAAAACCTTCTTTAGGATGAAAAATTTGTCAATAATTCCATAATATTTATTTTTTCAACATTATATACCTATTTTATCAAAATCTAAATTTTAGTTAACAATAATGACCTTGTTCATGTTGACCTGTTGAATATAACAATTCCATCACAACTAACCTAACCTGTTATCAACGCATTACGAATTAACAAAATGAAGATATCCATTCATCATTACAAATAATTTCATCCTACATACAATAAAATAGTGAAATATCACAAAATATCCAAAAGTTTATAACTTGTTCAATTCACAAAAAATCCAACAATAACTAGTGCAACTCCAAAAAAGTATGTGTACCTTATACAAACAAAAATGAGCAATTCCAAGCAAATTACATACATTGTTGCCCGTCAAAATGCCACTCTAATCCATCCTGCAAAAAAAATAATTAAAAGTTTTAGTAATTAATCAATTATATACAAAAGATTAAAAACATTAGTAACTCATCAATTATAATTAGATCATTATACAATTTATACTGTAACAGACTTTTTTTGAGATTATGCAGAACAAAATTTAATTTTAAGGCTAATTCACAAATGGTGCATCCCATTAATGTGTTCGTAAAGTTCAAACAATTATATTGGGTCCCTCCCAAGGTGCATCCCATTAATGTGTAATGTTACCGCTCAGGTGCTAAAAGCTTGAGTTATCAATTCACCACTTGGAGAAAAGAAGAAAGGTCAATGAGTGTGGATGGGGTTGTTCCGTAGTCAGAATTATAAGCTCCATCTCACGCTATTGAGGGGCAAAAAAGAAAAAAGAGGAAAATAGAAGGCACCAGGTTAATATGCAAGAAACAGCAAAATCAAAGCCAATCAACAGTTAGGACTCTCACTGACAAATCTCTCAATCTAAATCCTAGTTTGCATAAAGTCTAATAAAAGTTCTCAAAATTTCAATATCTGAAATGTTTCACTGCTTTGCCTTTGTATTACGCAAGTTAAGTACAAAAAAATATATTGAAACCATTTGAAAGCATAAAACAACCATCGTAACGTGAGTGGTAAGTCTCCCAAACACAATAACAACACAACTGCTCAAATGAGCCATACCAGCAAGCACAAACAAGTTAACAATTCATCCAAGTAGACCAATTACTACAATAAAGAACAACAAGGTCTTTAACACTTAATCCCCTGGGAATGCAAAAATTGTTTTGAGGAGCCGTGATGTTGCCAAAGTTCTATGATGAACTTGTGTTGTAATGTAATATGTACAACATTATTGGAATATATATTCTAACTAACAACATCAAATTTCCAAAGAGCCTTGCAAAATATGTTCTGCCAATGCACATAAACATGAAATTTTAGAGAGCTAATGGGAGATCAGAGCAATTTTACTTCAAAATAAGATGTTAGCTTTCGTTTATGTACTTGTGAAGACTCCATGAGCATAAACCACGGCTTCCACATGAACGGCACCGAGTCTATGAATTATAGTTTGAAATTCATCATTATGTGGCTCTAGCCCACAGACGGGGAAAATATGGGCCCGGAAACTTTATGCACCGAGTTCAGGCATTTTCCTACTCTATCTCCCGAACACAACCATTTCCAAGGTCCGCTTTTTGTTCCTAATCTGGGATTCGAAAAGATTAAAAAACATAAAAAAAAAAAGAAGAAAGAAGAAGAAGAAAAGAAAGAAAAAAAAACATCACTTTTATCATTGAGAAAGGTCAGATGCATTATGTTAAAAGCATCCAGATTAGGGCAAAATTTTCAACCCCAAAAGTAAACCAATCAACTTAGACATTCATACATGAAAAACTAAAGAAAAATCATCAGCTGAGGGAAAACCAATCCTTTCTTTATGGTCATGTCACATGGACAGTGGCAGCACATGGGTAAGACAACTAGTGTGGTTTCTTCACCTGGGCAGCAAGGACACAATGTTGCAGCAACACAGCCATGTATAAGAAAAAGCATAAGAAAGGAATAGAAGATGTTTCTTACCTCAATAGAAAGGAACATACTCTTCTAGCTCCCCTCAAATAGGGGCCTATGAGCCCACCTACAGCCCCAGCTGTGGCTGTAGTAGACTGAACCAGATTTTTTTCAGCTTCTGATGGTTTAACCATTACTGGCTAACCAAGAAGAGGCTGGCTAGAGAGTGCTATTGCCATAGGGACTGGCATTGCATCAAAAAATTCAATATAACTGCAAAGAAGCTGCATTAGCATCTCGATGGTACTAAGAAGGGAAATGGACATTGATTAGATGTGAAAGTGAATACAATAATAAGATTAACAAATGATACTGCCCAGTCTAAACATATTTTTTTCCTTTTTTGGAGGTAGGTGGGGAATATATTATTAACCACACCATCAAACCCACTAACTTGCAGGGGATACAACAAGCAATAAATGGAATGGACCATTATGACTTATAGAATATACCAGCAGTATACAATTTAATGAACTCGAATCGTACAATCAAACAATCTCTAATTGTTATTGATCAAATATCTATTAATGCGTGGAAGCACTAGGGAAAGTAAACAACTTCCACTAATAAATGAAATATGAGACATCAAAGCAAATACCTTCCTTCACCAAAAAAAAAAATGTCCTTCAGTTTTTTTCCACAATATTCACCCTTAATATTTTAAAATCACTAGAATAATACAAATCCATTAATAGCTACGCAATGTTTAAAACATTTCTCCATTACCGAAACCAAATTTTAACCAATGCAATTTCATGAAGCCCATCCCCAAAACCAAAAAAAACAACTTGGCGAGTTTACATTGTGTGGGGGAGGAGGGTGAAAGAGAAGGGCAGGGGGTCATCATCTATCTTACAAAGCATTGGACTTGGCCTTACTGCAATTTTGTTAGCCCATAATTACTTGTCAATTTAGCATGTAGACTTTTTCAATATGATTAGTGTGCCTTTTGCTCTGTCATCTTCACTTGTTGATAACAGCCTTAGTTGTTAAAAGAAGTGCAGACTTCTATCCTTGACCTCATTATGAGATGACAAACCTCCACTAATGATAGAATTAAAATAGTTATAGCATAATAAAAAATTAAATTGAGATAATTTTTTGGCTATGGAAGGAAAAATTGAACTTACCCAACTCTCTTGGAATGACTTGAATTGCGGTCCATTATAAGGCGTACATCTCAGACCTGGAACTGTAATTCAACGGTATTAGAAATACTCAACACAAATAATTAGTTCACCATCAAACGTAATATACCATCACATATTACGTTATAGCCCCACAGTGAGTAGCCCAAGAAGCACGAAACTTCTGGTGGCAGCTGCAAGGCAAGCATGCACAGAGTAAGTGTGTCTCCAATAGATGGCTTTGATTGCCTACCAAAATCTTATAAATCGTACGCTAAAGATAATAGAAATTAAAATGAATGTGAAAATTGATTCATTTTGGCCAGCTTCATTTACCTCTATAAAATAAAATAATAGATCTTCAAAGTTCAAACACAGTAAAGACTAAGTAATTGAATTTCATTTAGCACCCTTTGAACTTTTTTAAATAAAATATGGCAAGTTCCAATTTCTTGTATAAAAATACAGTTAAAAAATTCCCAAATTTTGGATTTTATTTAGGTTTGCCCAAGACATAAAATGTAATTGATACAGCAATAAAAAGTTCATAAGCAAAAACCATCCGCTGATCTCGTTCAGGATCAACCTCCGTCTCTGCCACTTCTTCCTTTTTCTCTTTATACCATCTGCTAAAGAAAAAAAAATCTTAAGTATTATCCCAACTTGATCCATAAATAACAATAAATCTGCTTCAGTTAAAGAAGGGTAAGTCAAAAAGAGTGGAACAAACTAACGAACCATAACTAAGGAAAATACATTTGGTCCTTGAAAAAATTAAAGTACTTAAGCAGCAAAATTCCTCGAGTTACTATGCAAAAGAGGAAAGAAAGAAAAATATATATATATATGTTTGTCAATCCACATCAAGGAAGTCAAATATATACTCAATGCAAGTTATTCTTCATATGTAATTCATGCATTTCAAGCATATAAACCTATAATTGAATAAATATACACATATATATCACTACAAGAAATTGCATTTTTCGCAACGCAACAAAATATGTTGCTAAAAGGAAAAATTTGTTGGCAAAGAGTTTTGCTGACACACAAAGCTACATTGGCAACCCGTAGGCAAAAGTGAGTTGGCAATAGTTTTTGCCGACGAAATTATCATTGCGTTGGTAAAAGTAATGCCTTTAGCGACGAACATATTCGTCGATAAAAGCCTTCATCTATCGTCGGCAATTTACCTTGCGTCGGTAAAAGTCATTCAAATATGATGATTATGTGACACTTTTCGCGACACAAATTTGCATGGGCAAAAAATATATTTTTAGCAACAAAATATGCGTCAGCAAAAGTAAACTTTCGGTGACACATTTACGTCGGTAAATGTTGTCATTTGCCTACGATTTGTTTGTCGATAAAACTTCACTTTTGGCAACGACAAATTAGCATTGGCAAAAAATACACTTTTAGCAACACAATAAGTGGGCAAAAGTAAACTTTTGGCAACACATTTACGTCGGTAAATATTGCCATTTGCCGACGATTTGTTTGTTGACAAAGGTTTACTTTTGGCAACGACAAATTGGCATTGGCAAAAAATACACTTCTAGCAACACAATATGAATGGGCTAAAATAAACTTTTGGCGACACATTTACTAACAAAAATAATTGAAAATAATTTATATATTTTTATAAGATTTACAGATTTACAAGAGGCATCCCTCAGGCACCACTATTACAAACTAATAACTTTGATATGAAATCACCTAAAGTTGATGTGCAAGCAAAAAAAACACTACTGATACTGCTTTTAGAAGCAATGTATAAAACCTAACAGGGTAAAGTCACTAAAATACCCAAATACATCCAAATTATGAACCCACATTAGAAACAACAGATAACAAAATGAAAACATAAAACTAACAAAGACAGGAAAAACGACATGAAAATCACCTACAAACTTATCCAGCAGACCAACATCTAGTAGCAGCTGCCTCACAGCAACATTGCAGCAGCAGCAGCCCAGCAAGCATCAGCCACGAGGGCGACAACAGCAGCAAACCAGCAGCTGCAGCAAACCAGCAAGCAGCAGCCATCAGCCATCAGCCACCAGCAAAAAGGAGGATCTGGTAGCAATCTGTATTGATCAATGACAAATTTAAAACAAAGTCCATTAGCTTTTTTTATTGATCTGGTAGCAGTCTGTGTGTGTGTGTGTGTGTGTTAATAGATATGCAAGCGCGAGTACTGGCCAAAACATAAAGCTTTTACCATCATCCGGTAAAAAATAAAATAAAATAAAGACCTTCGATTTCCAACTATACTAAAACAATCAGTAGCAGTAGATCCAATGCATTCTACACTCCAGTGAAATAAAATGTTGTCCAAGTTACAAATCATTCACTTGCAACAATGGCAATAATTTACACAAGGCAAACTAATTTCAGATTCCCTACTAATATTTAGATAAGGTCCATTTCAATGATTTCTGATATGGAAGGCATATGCATTATCTCAGCGATATGTATAGAGGTTTCAGATTCTCTGTAATCAGACAACAATATGTTGATATTACAATACAAAACTCCTAATCATTATCAAGTTCACATCATTCAATAATTTGGCAACAAGAAGAAAACAAATAAAATGGTCATTTCTGACATCAGATCGTGGTGGTCATTACTGACAAAGGCAATAGTATGAATAAGGGTCATTGTGATATAATTGTTTCCAACAAAAATGGACATGATGTTCGGTGGGATTCAGGTAGGCAAAGATGATGTCAATACTGCTGCAGTCCTGGTGATGATCATGGTGAAGATGGTAGTCCCACCAGTGATTATTGCCTCTAATTACCGACACCAATACGAGTTGGTTACAAATTTATTTTGGGTTGACAACGACAACAATGAAATTGTTGCATTGACATCATTTTTTTACCATTTCTTCCTTCTTATTCATTGAATTTACCCCTCATTTCAGTTTTCCCCTTTTCCTTGTGAGATTCTAATAAAATGAAATCCCTCATTTCAGTTTTCCCCTTTTCCTTGTGAGATTCTAATAAAATGAAATGTGCATGGTTAATGCAATACTTTTCAAAAAAACTGTATGGTGGAAAGCAGAAAAGAAGAAGATGACAACAAAAATGTTTTCAATATCAGAAAACTAGGATTTCAAGAAATTGAAGGTTTTGAAATGGTCCCTCCTAATGCATTCACTTATCTGAAAAGCCCAATAAGAGACCAAAAGATATTAGACACATAGAAAGAGAGAATTAGTATAAGCATTACTATAGTAGGCTTAAAATGACACGATTCAAGTGCAGAAAACAAACCACATCAATATATTGTAAACTACATACTTCTCAAGCAAATCCTAGCAAACTGGGCACTTACAAAAACCTAAAGAAAAAGGAATCAATTTCCTCTATTGTGCCAAATTCAATGTATTCAAAGAAAAACAATAATAGATAAACTGTCACTCCCGTACCACCAAGAAAAATAATTAAAAAAGAAAAAGCAATAATTATTTTACAGTAGATATTTGAGAAGAAAGCTTTACAGCTGTCAAACCATAAGCACCTATTTTTGGAATGGGGAAGGAAGGGAGTTTAGGGTGGATCAGCTATGCTAAATAAGAATGGTAGGTTTGTTGGTTGTTGTTGTTGTTGTTCTTCTTCTGAATCCTTTTTTAGTGTGCATGTGTGCGTATCTCTTGCTGTCTTATGAGTATATATGGTATTTGGAGTTATTTCTTTGTGGTTTGAATGATGTAACAGATAAAGAGTTGATCTGCCCTGAAAAGCCCTACTGGCAGTGCTTTTTAGCCTTTACGAATTGTGTGTGCTAATTTTGGTTTACTATATATATATATATTTCCAGGAGTAGTGCATTTACTGATTTGTGCTCAATTCCTATGCCAAATGGAAACATTAAGAAGTTAGAAATTCCTATGCCAAACGGAAACATTAGAAGTTACTGAATGAAGAGTGCAATAACAAACTACAATAGAGATATGTGAAAGATTTTGAGATGAGGAAAACCTGATTTAAACCGTCTAAAAGAACTTTCTCGAAAACTCCGAATGGTAGGGCAACCGAGGTAGGAATCCCAACCCAAGAAGGTACTTTTCCTTTTAGATATCCAATATTACGTAATTTAGCTCCAACCTGTGAAAATTAACATTCTGTAACTTACACAAACTGTTTAGAAAAAAAAGAGAAAACTCCTCAAATATAAATGAAATTTGACAATGCAATCCTAACCACTTCACTAGTGAACTCCTCAGATGATATGGCATATCTGCCACCGAATTGTTTTCTTGACCAATTTTATAGAGGCCAAAGGGCCTTCTTCGTTCAAGTTTGTTGAAATTGCACTTGTTAAGCCACCCTCTACCTTGCTGGGGTTAAGCACAAGAAAGAAAGAGAATTAATATTGGCTTCTTGTGTATTTTCGATTTTTTAGTGGAGCAATGACTACGTTGATTTGTAGATTATATGAAAATGTATTCATACCTAAAGAAAAGTAAATAAAAAAAAATGGACTCTATACGAATAAATTTGTAACGCCCTCAAAATTTTTCCTTTTTCATTTCTCTTATCAAATTTTCAAACCAAACACAATTTAAGCATTTTTAGTGTTCATATGTGTGATGTAACGGCCTCAAAATAACAACATTAAACCCATCAGATAAGACATGCATTTACATATAAACTAACCACGTTCTTTATTCATTAGAGTTCCATTACATAAGCATTACATGTTAGCATCAAAACAAAATGCCCTACGGGCTTACAGTTTTCCAAGTTAACACTTGGTGTGTCACTCATTTCAACAGTCGCCCATTGAGAAAACAAGAAAAAAAATTACAGAATGATAGTGAATTTTACCTTGCTATTTCTTGCTCGCACAGAAACATGAGATAGGACATCTAGCATGTCAGGTATCAGCACAACAACTGCACCATCGGGAATATCTTCCTCTCCTTTCACAGATTTTGCCACCAAAATTGTTGGCTGTCCATACGAGTTATTCTGAATAGTAAGCAACTTATCCACAACAACAATACAATCACATAAATCACATATTTATGTCAAGCGACTTACAAGTCCAAGTTTCCTTTCATTTGCCCTTTTTCAACGGATAGGCATATAAGCACTAACCACATTCTCAACAGATATGTATATCAACAATATCCACGTTCTCAGATAAGCAAATAAGCTATATCTACATTCTACAACAGATATGTATAACCACAATATCCACAGATAAGCATATGAGCTATATCCACACATCACAAAGATAAAGCATATAAGCTCTATCTTCACTTCTAGACAAGCATATGAGCTGTATCTACGGAGTTCATCCCTTATCTTCTCCCAACACTAACCGGTTTAGAGGTACATCCCCTATCTTCCCCTAAACCGCGGAGTACATCCCCGATCTCCTCCTCTACACATAACGTATATAAACACATTGGTTCTATATACAATCACCCAATACATACAATTAATGTATTCTATCAACCATCAAATTCCATGACACACTTCATTGATTAGTTTTCAGTTTGCCTAATCATCTGTCTACAACAATCTCGACTATCCTCCACCGATAGCCCAAAGCAGTTATTTCTAAAACAGAAAATAAATGCACAAATGGATATTCAATCAACATTTCATTTCTTCATT